CTATCTTCTTGTAATAGTTGTTTCCCAACCATTTATAAAATGAATTGGTTGTATTATTACGTAAAACAGTTTGTATGTTTATTTCTTTCTTTTTTTCTGTTTAAATACCTTTTTCTAACCCTTGTTATTATTCTTTTATTATTATTTTACTATTCAATTTTATTATTATTTTATGGTTTTATATTTGTTTTATATTCTTATCAATTCTTGTTTTCTTTATTATCATATGTTTCATTCTTATTTATCCATTCTTTAATACTTCTTTCTATTTCTACTTTATTCACTTATTCTTTGTTTATTATCATTTATTATTATTTTCTCATTATTTAGTTGGTTTATTATCATTTTATTCTTTAATTAAATGATGTTGATTGGTTATTGTTTTGTTTTCATGTAATTAATAATGTTATCTTCATATTCATTCATTTCTTTTATCATCTTCATCACTAACACTGAATAACAAATAATAATAAAAGAAAGAATATAAAATGAAATCACAATGACAATTATATAATAATATAATGAATGTGATTACAATTTAAAAGAATTTAAGAACATGAATATAAATTCATTATTATTATATTCATTATATTTCATTAATTATTTTATTCTGTTTATAATTTAAATTGATTATCAATTATCATTTATTTATTATATTTCTTTATTATTTATTATTTCATTTTATCATTATTTATTTGTTTAAACAAGAAGATATGTTAATTATTTAAATATTGTTAATGGAGATTGAAGTGGATAAGGAATAGAATGTAAGTATAAGTAAAAAATGATAATATGAATGAATAGAAATAATGAATAGGATAAATAAGAAATTCTTTCATCTTTCCTAACTCTTACACATTTAAATAACATAAATATGGTTAGTGCTAGTAATGCACACAAAACACTGTTCTGCAATAAACACTTTTGTATTATTCTTTGCTCTATTGATCAACTTTAGTCTGGTAATAAACTCTCTTCTCTCTTATTTATCTGGTTGAGTTCTTTTCTTTCTTTTATTTAAATAAACACAACATTACAAAATAAGAAATAAACACAAGAATAATAACAAAATAAAATATAATCAACAATAACATCAAATTATATAACCAAGAAACAAAACATAAAATATGAAATAAAACAAGAAATGATAGACAACTAAAAAATAGAATAACTAATATACAAACAATAAAACATGATTGATAATATTATTAATCAAAAGAATAAAGAATAATAAATGATAATAATTAATAAGGGTATGAATGAATAAATTGTGAATAAAATATAATAATGTAATATTCATATATTTAAATATAAGATACTTATGAATAATAATCAGTTATTTCTTATATTTTTATGTATTCTTTATTTCATGTATTCTTTCCACTTTTATTATTTGTTACTTCTTTTATCTTTTGTTTCTTCTTTATCATCTTTTATTATATTCATACATTTTATTAAATCTTTTATTTAACTTTATTTAAAATCTTAATATATATTTATTCTTTTCCAAATATCTTTTATTAATAATAATGAATGAAACAAAATTACAATAAATAAAATAGAAAGTATTTTAAAATACAAATGAAATATATTATTTGACAGTTATATTCTTATTCTTTTATTATTAGTTCTTATTCTATCACCATTTCACTTGTTTTTATTTCTATTAATTATTTCATTTATTTTTGTCATTTCTTTAAATAATTTCAACAACAAATTATTGATTGAAATCAATAATTTATAGAAATGATTGAATATTTATTATTCAATTTATTCATTGATCATGTAAATTATTACAATTATTTTATGTTTCAATTAGTATCATTGTTACATTATTTTTATTATATCTTTGTTTTTGTATTTTTGTTATTTATATTATTTTATTTTTTGTGTTTATTTATTCTTATTTTTTGTGTTTATTTTATTCTTTTTTATCATATTTATCATTTATATATGTTATATTTGATTTTATTAATTATATTAATTAATATTTTATTAATATAAATATTATGTTTATTATTTTATTATTTATTTATTTTTATTTTATCTTTTCTTATTATTCTTTTATTATTTTATGTTTATTATATTTTATTTTTTTATTTCTTTTTCTATCTATTTTTCTATTATTTTTATTTATTATATATATTTCTTTTATTCTTATTCTGTTATTATTTATATTTTTTATCTTTTTTATTTATTCGATTGTTTAATAAAAAATATATTCAATTTTATTATTTGTTTATTATTATTATTTATTTATATTTATATATTAATTTGATTAATATATTTGTATTATATCATTTTTATATTTATTATTATTTATATTTTGTATTATTATTTATTTATTATTATCATTTTTATTTTTATTTATCATTTTATATTATATTATTCAATATTTCATGAATTTAATATTTATTATGAAATCATTTATTAATTATTTCATTTTATAATGATATATTAATTAAATTATTTTGTTATATCACATTGATTATTCAATATTTAATAATAGAAATTAATGATATAAGATTAATATAATAGATATAAATAAAATGATGAATATTGAAACAATCATTTAAAATCAAAAATAAATAATAAGAAATAAGAATATAATATAAATAATAAAGAATAAAGAAAGATAATAAAAGAAATAAATAATAAATATAAATCAAATGATAATAATAAAAACAAATAATAAATAAATGATAAATAAATAAGAATAATCAAAAATATATTAATATTAAAAATTAAAATTAAATCAAATCAAAATAATCAAAACAAGAAATGAAAATAAGAATCAAATGAAAATAAATAAAATAGAAAAATAAGAAATAAAGAAATAATAAGAATAAAGAAGAAGAATAAGAAAGAAAAGAAATATAAATAATAATAATAATAAATTAAAATAAAATAAGAAATGAAAAATACAATAATAATAATAAATAATAAAAATATGAAACAATAAAGATAATAATAATATAAAATGATAATATTAAAGAAATTATTAAAATATAAAATAAAGATAAAAGAAAACAATGAAATATAGAATAAATTCATTTTAATATAAATCATTTAAATAATTAAACAATAAAATTATTTCATAATATTGAATTATTTCATAAATATAATGAAGAAGATGAAATATTTAATGACGGAGGAATATTTGAAAAAATAAATGGTATGAAGTAGATTATTCAAGACATTTATAAGAAAGAGAAGAATTGAATGAATGCAAAAATAGAGAACATATAAATGATGGTCTGAACATAATACCACTAAAAGTCAATTAATTGGATGAATTGTTATATATGTGTCTCATATAATTGTAAATCAAATAATGAATATATAAAATTATATGTATTTTGTTTTTTTTATAATAACAAAAAACAAAAAGAATATAGAGAATAAAATATAAAATAAATAGGAATAAACAATTATAATAAGCTTCTTAATATAAATATAAAAAGAATAAAAAAAATTAACACATTGATAATGATAAAAGTAGATATGTAAATAAACAATTCGAAAATGGAATTTAAAGTATCAATAATAACACAGCAGATAATTAAATAAATAAAATATATTAAAAATAAAATATAATTGAAAATAAAAAAGTAAAACGACAAAATTATTAAATAATAAGTAAATCACAGGGAAACAAAATAAGCGAAGAAATTATGCATTTAAATAAAATGATCAAATGAAAATGGTGTAATATATTTTTTGAATATTAGATTATTCTGTTTTATATTATTTTCTCTTAAAAATATAAAATAAAATAAAAAGTAGGTAAAATATGAAATCTATAACAATCAGTTGACATTTTGTAACTTCTTGTATTGAGTATGATGTATCTTGATTTGTTGAGTATATTCATTCATAAATTTGTTCATTTTATATTATTCTTTATTTCATTTACCTTCAATTCTATTTTAATGTGAAAATATCATTATGAAAAATAATAAAGAAGAACATTATGTTAATTCAAATTTATAATGTTAGTTATGAATAACATTGATTATATAAATATGAATATCAATCGTATTGTTATTAATGTGTAAATATGTTCCATTTCATTTATCACATTGATGAGATATCATAATGATATGTTAATAGATGTTATTATTTATTTATTTAAATGATATATTATTGATATGAAATTAAATTATATCACATATGATATCATGATGATGATGATATATACATGTAAATTATTATATTATCA